GTCCCGCCCTCAGGGCACTTTAGGGAAAAGGGGGGGGGGGGGGAGAGAAAGCCCTGCACTCACCAGCTGTTGCAGTGGCGATCAGAGCCTTTGGGGGGCTCGTGGCAGGCCCTCCCTTTGCAGTGCAGGGCAGTGGATGCCTCCCCTGCTTGGCACCAGTGTGGCAGCTGTTGCATTGCACAGGTGCAGTGTGGCTCAGCAGGGCACTGCTCGCTGTCTGGGAGCTGGGGCAGCTCCACTCATCAGCCGGAGCCCAGCACCACTCAGCCCCAGTGTCCCCAGCTCCCAGACAGCACACAGCGCCTTAACGAGCCAAGCTGCATCCATGCCATTGGGAAGCTGCCGCGCGGGTGAGCCATGAGAGGGCTTGCAGCTGCCCGGCTGTGCCTGGCTCTCCCCAGCAGATCCAAATCTCTGAATCAGCACCGAATCTCCGATTCTGATTCGGCCAAATCAAATGGGGACAGTGATTCGAATATCGAATCGACTGAATCCAAATCGAATACTTCCCTATTTGTACAGGCCTAGCAATTACCATAGAACAGCTGATGCATGGTAAATATCACCTTCCTTTATCTTGCAGTAATTTGTTTCTGTGCTCATGCCCTCAGTATTGACCACTAGAGAGGAACTAGTTAATTAGTATTCGTAATGTCTATTAAAGAAACAAGAACAGTACTAACTGGTGCTATGTTTAGTGGAACAAAAGGTTAGATACAGTGTTGCAAATTCTTTTGTGTCATTAAATAGGAGTCTAGATTAATGAAGGAAAAGGTTATTTTCATTACTTCTCTCTTCAATTGTCTACTTTGTCTAATTGATTAAATCTATAGTTATTCTGGGGATGGGGGGCGCAGAATAATTTTATAAACTTGGCAAGGAAAATTGTAAAATTAACCTAGATGATGATGATCTTTATTTAATTTCAGTTCTTTAATGTTGGAGGGTGTTGAACCACAGAGTACCTGTGAATTGGAGGTAGATGCAGTAGCTGCTGATATTTTAAATCGATTGGATATTGAAGGTAAGTTGATTATTCTGTATGTTGTACTCATCAGGGCAGAGGATGTATTATGGATTTGTTAAGTATCTCATTAAAACCTCAGTCTTGATTGAGCTATTGTACATTGTGTAAGTGATAAATACCATATTTTTTTGCATGCAACATACTCTAGAATAAGATGTATTCCTTATTTTGAAGATTGGAATGAATCTTTAAAAGTCTTTCCTTGTAGTAATTGAGTATCAGCAGCTACGGAGCTGTTTGTTTGTTGTTCTACTTCTTGTGGATAGTGTGAAGACCTTTATTTCCACTTTTACCTGGGAAGCAGCAGCAATGACTCTTACTTTATTTTCTCACACATCACATACATGCCAATTTCCAGCAGCTGACTTTTGGCAAAAGGCATGCTGTATGTGAAAAGATATGGTAATATTGGCTACTGTACAAAACTGATAAACAGCAGATATAAAATGGACACCGAAAGTCGGGAGAAAGTAGGTGATTCTAAGAGTGACTGAGGAACAAGACAGAATCTTGGTGTAACAGGTCAGGAGACTGTTTCAGTCTATAAGAAGTGTTTAATATATCCATTTTTTAGGTTCTTTTCCATCTGTTGCTTACTAACCCCTGAATTAACCTTGGTATGGATGCCAAAAGAAGTTACCATTATACACTTAGAGCATGTAGTCTTAAAAGCAAAGGAATACTAGGGAGTAATTAGAAAAAATATACCAGAATTTACCCATTATACCTGTATTCCTAGGAAACTGAAGAGTTTCGGTGAACAATTAGGTGACTGAAGATGAAACCTGTTAATGGGAAAACTAAAGAATTGTCAGACTTGATTTCACATTAGCAACCTTACTTTGATGTATTCTTGCATATTTCAGCCCAGATTGGCAGGAACCCGGGTTTGCAAGCCATATGGGAAGATGAAAAGCGGCGCCGTAGAGAGAAAAATGAGTCTTCTCAGATTAGTCCTCCTGATTCACAGGGTAAACAGTGTACAGTAAAATGCAGTTGCTTATTGAATGTTTTTTGGAGTGACAAGCAGGCAAAAGAGTGTAAATTGATGCGTTTAAATTGCTGTGTTTCAGCAGGTGTCCAGAATTATGGCTTTTCAAGGCAGAGACTTTAAGAGTTTTCTCATGTTTGTAGTTCATTTGTTTTTCTATCTACAGGGTGTAAGCTTAATTCAGAATAGTGTTAATTCAATACAATTTAATTCAGTACACTTTATTACTGTGTTTACCTGAATCCAAGATGACTTTGAATTTAAGACAACCCCAATCAGTTATTAGATTCTATAGATGGAAAATTATAAATGTATTGTCTTTTTCCATGAACATAATCAAATTATTGGGGGGTTGTCTTAAATTCATCTCCCTCCCTCCCCCAACCCAACCCCCTTCTGCAACAAATAAAGCAGGGGCAGGGGGGGCAAGCAGCCTGATCCTACTACTTGTCCACCTGGTATATACATCCTCCTTCCACGTACCACAGCCACTAGACCTCCCCACCCCAGGGCCACGCATTTATCCTGTGTGGCTAATTCAGCTCTGGCTTAAGCCCAGGGTACAGAGCGCACAGTGGCTCTGGCCCCCGTCAGGCAGCAGCAGTGGCAGCAGCTCCTGTGTGGCCTGAACCAGAGCCAGAGCTGCACAGTCTCCTTTGTACTCCTCCAGGCTGCCCACCATATGGGCTCCCTCCCCGACACCATGCACTGCCTCATGCCGCCATCACCACCTGCACTGTCTCTGCCATCTGCCCTCTGGCCAGGTGGCAGTGACAGCAGCAGCAGCACTTATCAGCTCTGTCCTGGCCTCTGCCCCAGCCTGGAGCAGGTGGTGGTGGTGGCTCCAGCCCTAGACCCATGTCAGGGCCTGAGCTGCAATAGCTGCTTGTCCTGGGCCAGTACTCAAATCCAGTCCAGGGCTTTTTCCCTCCCCATGTCTAATGTGGGGGGAAAATCTACTCCCAGTTTGAGCAAATTATTATGGTATTATTGGTAGACCTGGTAGTAATGCCTGTATTTAAGGTTGCCTGACATTTTCCATTATAATACCCTGTATTTAGATACTTAGCCAAACTTAAAACATACCTTTCTCTCTCTCAATGTGTGAAGCTAAAACAGTGGGGTTATTTTTTTAGGACTAGCTATGGGGAAGTTGTTGTTTTGGCCATATTAATGTTTGTTGAACAGGGCAGACTCACTGGGAATGAATTAAGATCATAAAGTGAATGAAATGGTTGACTATAGGACCACTACCTCATTTGTTGCAAAAATAGAAGAAGTATCAACGTATGAGAACTGCGAGAACAGATAAACATGTGGGTCAAGCAGATGGAAGTTAATATGGAGAAATGGATTCTGGGTGTGCTCTTTTCAGAATTCCTATATAATGCTGTTCAAATTGCATACGCTAATCACTGGTGGCTCCTACCTATATGGGTGGCCATCTTAAGACTGTGATTTACAGAATTGTTGAGTACTTGTAACTGCAGTGAAGTTCAATAGGAATTGGGCTCTAAACAGATAAAGTATTGTAAAATGCTAAATATTCTGAGAGATTTGGCTGCAAATTGGACAACCAACGTCAGTCAAGACTTTGATATGTTGGTTTTAAAAGCGTTACAGATTCTTGTGTAAAATAATAGTATAGTAATAGTATAATACTCACAATAGTATTCTGAAGATAAATTCTGTAATTTTAAGAAAGAATTAAGATAGAGTTGAGTGCCATAAAAATACTAATGAGGATGTAATGGCCAACAAAGCATTCACCTTTTTTAAAGATCTTCTCTAGTGGTTCGGAAGTCTGAATTTCTATATTTTTATGAAAGAAAGTATATCTGTTTCTTTATTTAAAATTCTCATTAAAATTATTTGTCAATATGCTGTTGAAAATACAGCTAAATGAATGTTTTTAATGATAATTGAAAAATTACTTTTATAACTGTCTTGAAACCAAGGAAATGGAGTACGCTTTCAATGCATCTATACATGACTAAAATTGTTAGGAAAACAGAGCTACTAGCTGGGCACATATCACACATTCAACCTTTTTTTCCTAAAATTTTTCACAAGTGTAGTCCGTTACTAGTATAAAGGATCTTCTTAGGAATCATACACAACAGTTGCTTTCTGTTAATAGAGCTGAGTAAAAGCTCCAATTAAATATATTTTTTTATTATTATTATTATTTTTTAATTTAAAGATCGAGGATTTGTGCCAGCAACAGAAAGTGAAAAAATCTTTCAGAAGAGGCTAAAAGAAATCCTCAAGCAAAATGACTTCTCTGTGTAAGTGATGAACTATTTTCCTTGACATTAGTTTTTTGTGCTGACTTTCAACTGTCATTTTAAAGTATGTTTCTAATTTTTTTTTAAATATGTAGAACATTATCGGGATCATTGGACTACAGTAATGGATCAGAGGAGTTCTCTGCTGAGTTGACACTACATTCTGAGGTACTTTCTCCTGAAAATGTTCTGTGTTCACCAGCCAACATGATAGAAGTGCACAAAGATGAGAAACTGAACAAAGGTGAGTATTTTCAGTGACATTTCATAGATTTCGTAGACACACTAGGGCTGGAAGGGACCTCGGAAGATCATTGAGTCCAGCCCCCCGCCCAAAGGGCAGGAAGTCAGCTGGGGTCATAAGATCCCAGCAAGATAAGCATCCAATTTACTCTTGAAGGTGTTCAATGTAGGTGCATGAACCACCTCCGATGGCAGGCTATTCCAGACCTTGGGGGCTTGGACAGTAAAGAAATTCTTCCTTATGTCCAGCCTGAAACAGTCTTGCAGTAGTTTATAACCGTTTGACCTTGTCATCCCTTGGGGCACTCTGGTGAACAAACGTTCCCCCAGATACTGGTGGTCACCCCTGATAAACTTATAGGTGGCCATCAGATCACCCCTGAGCCTGCACTTTTCCAGGCTAAAGAGCCCCATAGCTCTCAGCCTGTCGTCGTAAGGTCTGTTTTCCTGACCTCTGATCATGTGCATGGCTCTTCTCTGGACTCTCTCAAGCTTTTCCACTTCCTTTTTGAATTGTGGAGCCCAAAACTAGATGCAGTACTCCAGCTGTGGCCTCACCAAGGCTGAGTACAAGGGGAGAATGATATCCTGGGATTTGCTTGAGAAGCATCTATGGATGCAAGCCAGCATTTTGGTCGCTCTACTATCTGCAGCATCGCATTGCAGGCTCATGTTCATCTTGTGGTCACTGATGACCCCCAAGTCTTTCTTCCATAGTACTAGCCAGCATAGCACTGCCGAGCCTATAAGGATGCTGCAGGTTTTCCCTCCCAAGGTGGAGAACCTTGCATTTTTCAGTGCTAAACACCATCAGGTTCTCATCCGCCCATTTGCTGAGCCTGTCCAGGTCAGCCTGGATCACACTCCTGTCTTCAGGTGTGGATGCTTTGCCCCAAAGTTTGGTGTCATCGGTGAATTTGGTCAGTCCACTTCTGACTCCAATGTCCACCATGTTAATGAAGATGTTGAACAATATGGTTCCAAGGACAGAGCCTTGGGGGGACCCCACTGGTCACAGAGCACCATGACGATTGACTTCCTTCAATTACCACCCTCTGGGTCTGACCATGGAGCCAATTTCCCAGCCAGCAGATCGTGGTGGACCCAAGGCCACAATTGGCCAGTTCTGCCAAGACGTGATCATGGGATACCAGATTGAAGGCTTTTTTGAAGTCAAGATATATGACATCAATCTCTTCTCCCTTGTCCAGGTGATAGGTCACCTGGTCATAAAAGGAAATGAGATTGGTCAAGCAAGACCTACCCGCAACAAACCCATGCTGGCTATCCCTCAGGATGTTGGCGTCGGCCAGTCCATTAAGGATGGCCTCTTTAATAAACTTTTCTAAGATCTTCCCTGGGATAGAAGTCGGGCATTAGAAGTCAACATTAATTTTAAGGACAAGTCCTGGTGGTTTTATATATTCCTATATTTTGGCAACTGAAACTAGTGAGGACTTGGCTCTTGATTACAGAGGAACTACACACCAAAAACAAATTTGTCTTCATTTGTACTCTTTATAACTAGGGACCTACTGAAATACTGATTTATGGCATTGCCTGTGAAATCTGTGGGGGAAATAAAAACTTAGTGAAAATAAACTGTTGGCTTCCCAGAGGGAGCCAGCAGTCTTCAGGGTGCTGTCTGCTAGGGCAGGGAAGGGGGAAGAGGGTTCTGCCCGCTTGAAGGGCTGCTGGCCCCCCAGCCTCTTGCCATGGATTGGCTGAGAGCTGCTTGTCATGTGGCCCTGTCTCTCTCCAGTCAGTAGGCAGGGCTGCATGACCGGCAGCCCTCGCAGCCAGTCTGTGGCAAAGGGTAGAACCATATGACTGGCTGCCAATCAGTGGCTTGGGTTTGGGCCCCTTAGCCAATCTTTTGTGGGGGGAGGGGGGGCTGGCGCTGCCCCATAATGCCCATGAAACTGCTGCCAGGCCCTGCCTTCTGCCTGCAATATTGGTGGGCAGGTGCCCCAAATTCAGTAGGTCACTATTTATAACTCCAATAAAGTCAGTTCTATATCATGGTTAGGAGCCAGCTATGTTCTCTCAGCATCCACTTTGTGCTCCTCTGTATCAGTAGGATCTCTGAGACATGGCTGGTTTTTCATTGGTACTGCTAGCATGGAATAGGGATGCAGTTAGCCTAAGAATCTGGCAAAGTACATGAACAGCTTTTTAACCACTGTAGAAAGTACACAGATTATCAGAACTACCAAGTAGAACTGTAGTAAGAATTCTTATAAATAATGTGACTATATTTGAATTTATAATATCTGTAAACTGATTTTTTTAATGTGTTTTGTTTTCATATTGAAACATTGATGTGCGAGTCTTTCAAGTTTGTCGTCTTTTTTTTTTTTTAAGAACCCAACAGGAGGCATGGTAAAGAAGAGGAAGCACTTATTAACGAAGAAGCAATTTTAAACGTTGTGGAAAATAGTCAGAGTTTTCAACCCTTGTCTCAGAGACTGAATCAGACTCCAGTTTTCAGTAAGTATAATCAGAATGCAGTAAACATGATCCCCCCCTATTAAGTTCTTTTTATTCCCCTAAATGTCATTATGCTCAGTGGCATACCAAATTATTTTTTTCAATGAAGACTTGAGCGAATTATCCTTTCCTCCTTCTGGTAGCATTATCAGTCTAGTAAGTTTGTAAAGGTCACTCTGTTACTGCTGTTGCACTAATCTGTCAACCTTCATACCAGTGTGCTAGGATACTTGGATGCATTGCTGTTCCATAATTTTCTTAGAGGTTGTGGGGAGGCCTGAAAAGATTCCGGTACACCAAAATTTGGATCAGCAAGTGTAAGCACTTGATGTTGAGGTATGTTAGGATGATAGGTTAAGACAAATAGTGAGGGTAGATGAAAAAACATGGCTGAAGAGAGAAAGGGAAGTAAATGCAACTAAAAAATAAAGCGAAAGAGAGCAAAACCAGGGATCAGAGGAAGCACAGAAGGATGTGATTGGGGAACAGATTGACTTACAGTTAATAGCACAGTAAAAAGTTGACTTTCTGAGTATGAAGGAAGAACTAGAACACTATGTTGAAGAGAGAGAGATTTATTGTTGAATGCTGTCAGCTTTGTTTTAGAAAAGGTAGGCAAGATCTCGGGCAGTGAATAACACAAGCTGCTTAAGGAAAGAGGATCTATGGGGAGAATGATGTGTGAAGAGGAGAGCAAAAGGATGAACTTTGTAGGTGAAAATACCATAATCATGAGACTTTCTCAGGAGTTACTCAGCTGCACGTGAATGTTGAAAAGTGATGTTGTCTGTAGCCCAGAGGTGTGCTCCATATGTCCTATGGGCCACCCACAGCCTACCAGGCTGGCCACATTAGCAGTCCACTGTAGCACACTGTCAATACTCTGGATACTCTGTATTGTGGTGTACATGTAAGAGGTCTACGACCCTCGCACCAAGACCTCTGATGCATATGCGTAAGCATAAGTATGGAGGAGTGAAGGCTGCCCAGGATGTACCATACTCCCTTTAGACCATCACGATTGGACTTGGTTTGGCTTTTGGATTCAGACATTCGGTGCTTTGATGGTTGTAGCTTCTGCCAGAGCAACAGATAAGAACTACTTGTAAAGCCTCAATGAGTGTGTATTTCTGTCAGGGTGATTTCCCTTAAGCCAAGCGTTCTTAAACTGTGCGTCATGACCCCCCGGGGGGTCATGAGCAACCTAAAAGTGGGTTGCAACTTCTCCTTCTTCCCCAATGCGTAAATGTTCTGCCTTCTTCCCACCCCCAGTGGCAACGCACGTGTTCTTAGACTCACGTGTATTGGAAGCGTCTCTCTTGTTTTCTAATCTCGGTGTGCACGGGTTAGTAAAGCTCAGTACTTATCTGTCAACAATTCGATTGACTGAGTTTTCCCTTTGCCACATCCTACTTGTGTGAATCAGGGTTTTCAGCGGTTGCAGCTATAAAGAGCAAATACCGATCAAAAATAAACGTGGACGTGAAATGAGACTGGCAGTCTCAAAAATAAAGCACAGGTTTGAAAAACTAATGAGTACCAAGCAAGCTCATCCTTCTTATTGAAAACTATTGACAGTTTTAAATTTGACAGTGTTTTCTTTTCAGTGAAACAGTTTGGAATATGATAAACTTCATAAAGTGTTTTTTGATAAATATATTTCATTAATATACAAAGGTAAATGCACTTTATTTATCTCCTACCTAATCCTAATGAAATCAGTAGCTTTAATCATGGGGGGGTCACATAAATTTATATATTATTTTATGGAGTTACAATATCACAAAGTTTGAGAACCCCTGCCTTATGCTTTCTCCAACCAAGGAGTAGCCACAAGGCACTGGGGACTAGGGTTTTCAGGTGCCATATACTTACTCTGGAGGTTGCAGCATTGTGGTGTTTTATAGGAGTTTCCCCGCTACATTGCCACCAGACCTTCCAGTTGGATGCAGTTTAGTCATACCCAAGATCTGCTATAGTTCTCTGTTTAAACTGCTTAATTAAACAAAGCAGGATTTGAAAACCAAAAAAGTGTGTGTGGTGACCTCGTTGCATGGCAGTTAATCAATATGCACATGGTGTCTGCATGTGCTGTCCTGTTTTTCCTATGTAAATGTGCTGAAAACTTCATATCCAATCACTGGGGCTTCTATTAAGAACGGTCCTCCTCTAGAAAGTGTACCTTGCAAGTGATTCTCAAGGTGAGAGTTGCGCATCCAGCACTTGAACAGGGGTGCAGCACAAGTTGGAGACTTAGTTTCTATTCCTGAGGTGCTGTATGACCTTGGGCAGTGTGCTTCCTCTCTGTGCCTGTTTTCCCTCCCACACACTGGATTTTCTCCTGAGATTGTAAATTTAACAGCGTAGACCAAGACTCTTCTATAGTCTGTAGCACATGAGGTGCCAGTCTCAGTTGGGGTTTTGGCCACTACTGTAACACACATTAATAATAAATTAAGTTTGTAAAAGTGCCAAGGAGTAAGAACTGGTGTTTAGAGAACTGGACATGCAAGGAACAAAGAATTCAAGAACAGAAGGTAAAGTTAAAAGTAGGAGGAAAGAAATGCCTTGTGATTTAAGCTGAGAACTAAGAGTTAAAGGAAGTAGCTTCTGTACTTGACAGTGGCAAAGATACCATGTATGACCTTGGGTAAGTAGCTTAATGTTTCTGAACTCTGGTTTCTTCACTGGTAAAATATGGATGTTACCTGCCTCCTAGGGGCATGAGACTAAATTTTAATTTTTCTATAACTCTTACTCAGGAAATCTCTGTATGATTTATAATTATGAAGTAAAGTAGAAACCATATTTTAACAGCGAGGAAGGAAGGAAAGGGAAGGAAGCAGTGGAGGGGTCTGGAGTTGAGATCACCAGTAGAGTGAGTATTAGCTTAGAGGAAAGGAAAAGAATGGAAAGAAAGCAAGCAATTTTCACACTTATGAGAGAAGTACAACTTAGAAATAAAATGATCCTTGGTAAAAAGTGTAGTTTTATATCTAAAAATGAAGCATGGAGGTTATTGATCAGATTTGAAGTGATGGATTTTCAGTGTGGACACTGAAGGCACCTAGGAGAAGATTGGGAATTTTGGCAGGAAGGGGGAGGAGTAGACGATAAGCATAGAAACTGAGAGAAGAATAACTGATATAGAGGGCAAAAGGAGAGAAAGAGCTGTATAGCATGGATTTTGCAGGGGGTGAAGTAGGAAGCAAAGAGCCAGGAAATGGTAAGGATGCAGGAGCCCAACAATATACATGCAGCTATTGTTATGAGTAGAGTTGAGGAGGTTAAACAACTGAAAACACTTTTATCGGATGGTGAAATGAAGGGAGGGAACCAGGTTTCATGCATGTGCAGTGGAGACGGAAGATTTGGGAAGACAGGAACATTAATCAGTCAATTTACTAGGAACAGTGAGGAGGCGGAAGTGTAAAGAACGTGTATTAGAATTAGATTGTCAGAATTACAGTTAAAGAAGAAGATATGAAGCAGGGAATTGGGAAAACCAGATGGGCATGAAAAGAGGTATGCTTCTGGGGCTGGCATAATTTTGTCAGTAACAAACAAATGGACTAACATATTTAGGAACTATATTTTAATGATTATCTGAATTAGAAACTATAATTAAAAATTAACTAATAGAATAAAATGTAGGTTAAACTTGTGCATGTGTGGACTTTTTCTGCAGTGGACACCAGTGCTGATCAAGCCATGATACACCTGTTGGCTGGCTTGGAGGATGATGGGTATCAAATGCGAGGACATAGAAAATTACCACATCACCATTCTCTTGGAAACTTTAGAAACTCTCAGAACAGCGATGATGAAGAAAATGAACCACAAGTTGAGAAGGAAGAAATGGAACTCAGTTTGCTCATGTCCCAGAGATGGGACAGCAGTATTGAAGAACCTGGGGCAAAAAGAAGGTACATATTTGACATTAGGGGCAGAAGGTGTGGAGCATTCCCCCCCCTTCCCCCCCCCTTTTTTTTTTTTTTATTTGAAGTGTTCATTTTTTCTTCCTAGTAAAGTTCATGATTTCAACTCCAGTGAATGAGCAATCCTAAACTGAAATGATTCGAATAATATATTGATCTTGATCTAAAGAAGGGACGTCTATTTGACCACATTGGGGTACCTGCATATCTTGGGCTGATAAACTAGATGTAATCACTTGTATATGAACATACGTCTGAAAGTTTTGGATACTAAAATCCCAAAGCTTCAGTTTTGATTTTAAGAAGATACTTGAGAGAACGTCTTTGCAATTGAACAGTGGAAGGAATTTATCAATCTTTGCATTAAAATCCATTTTGGAGCCAAACATTGTAGACGTGTATGAGGCTTGATGCATCTGGAGTGAATGTTTAGGAGAGATTTTTGAAGGTTGACCCACCACTACTTCACTAACACCATTATATTCCCATGTCACTGAATCAGTGATTAAATCTTAAGATAGATAAACATTCACTTCTGGACTACCAGTATTTGGCAGCTTCCTTATCCTTTAAGATAAGGGATTCATTGAGCAATCTGTGCCATTCTGTTGCCATTCTGTGTTGATCCTTTTTGTCAACTCACTATTAACAGTCTATTAAGAAAATGTGTCCAGTGTTTTCTCACCCAAATTGTGGTTTGGCATCTATCTACCTATTTGCAGTTCCATCTGAGAACATCCAAGCACCTTACAAACATTAATATATTAAATTCTTGCAGTAGTTTTCTGAGATATGGAATATGATCCCATTTACAAGATGGAATGTATGAGGCACAGAGAAATAGATGGTTTCCTAAATCCATACAGGGGCATTGTAATAACAGCTAGTTTGGCTCCCAGTTCCTAGACTTTAGCCACAAAGCCTTTTTTCCTATCTGACCTTTCCTTTTCCATAGTCAGAATACTGTTAAAGGCAAAACTGAGTTCAGTGGTAGCTGAAAAAATTGAAAATCTTTTTATCCAAAATATTTCAACTATTTTTTCAGTTAGGGTAAAAGATATAGTTAATACACTGATTTTAGGCTGAGGGGTTGCATTCCTCTAGTTGTAAATGAAAAGAGATAATCATTTTAAATTTTTAGAGGCAGGTAGCCATAATCCACATGAAACTTTTGCATGCTTTTTTTTTTTAATTTTAAATTGCCTGATTATATTTTTAACTTCTGTTTTGGATTAGCAAAATAATTTGTTTCCATCAATAGGTATGTTTTTTTCAGCTCCATGAATTTAAAGACAAAAATACTTAATGCAAGGCTTTTGTAGCTGTTAACAGATTCTGATTTTTCTTTCTTATATAGCCAAGCTTTTTCTTAAATTTCAGGTGCACGTTTTTCAGCTTTTTCCATTATAGTTATTGGTTTGACAGCTCTTAGAACTTTATTTAAAAAAATACAAGCTTCCTCACATACAATTGAAACATCTGAATCCCTTTTCTACCCTCCTGAACCACCAGGCACTACACTTCTTGTCTAAATTGTTTTAAATGACTGACTGCCATTATACTGCATCTCACGATAACACCCCTGAACAATGTTCTTATAGTGTCAGATTTCTCACTGACAAATTTTCGCTTTCACTTACTACTACAGCATTTTAATTTTGGGGCTATCCTATGTCTAGATCTTTTTCCATCTGAGATATGCTATATTGCACTCAGTGTTTCTTGATTTTTCTTTTAGGTCAGTGGGCAAAAATTTGCATCGAAGCTCAACTGAAGAGGAGGATTCATCTTCAGAAGAAGAAATGGAATGGAGTGGTAACAGTATGCTTCTAGCTAATCTCTCTATACCTCAGTTAGATGGAACTGCAGATGAAAATGGTGGTAAGTAAATGGTAAAATGCTTTGAAAGTTACTGCTTGAAACATAACTTACTTCCTTGTCTATATGATAACCAGAAGGTGTGAACTTCCCTCAGCGGGAGCTCTCAACACAGCAGAGAAATAGTCTTAAATTCTGTAGGTGTAATATAGATTCAGCATGAGATTTACTAATCTCAATTTCTCCCTCTAATCAACTCCCCCTGCTTTGCTTTCGAGTTACATTAGCAGTCTGAACAGTGAAGGTTTTCCAGTTAATTAGCCCTAATGGAGAGGGTGAAGTCCATCTAGTCATCATAGGATTTTTCTGTTAATATTTTTAAAATCTTTCTCTCTCTCTCAGCTTTTATAGGATCCTTTAGCTCTACTACAATATATATTGTAAACTTTAATAATCATATGAAAAATCTAGATACCCAGTGTGCTTTGCTTTTTAGATGTATGCTGCCCATATTTAATACAGTGCATCTTGCTTCCAGCCTATATTGCATTCAGTTCATCACCTGTTACTGCCCTAAGATTGCATTAACATGCACCAGGGGAGAGTCAAATCAGCTGTAGGAGAAACTGTTAGGAGCGAAGGTTTATTTAAAAAAATGCTCTTGTTCTGCCCCCTCTGCTGAAATGTATTCTTTAAATAATCTGAAACAACAGTGTGCACAATTTGATTATGAAGAATTGAGAATTTATACAAAAGGTCTAGCATATTGTTTTGATTACAAGTCAAACTTTTTTCTTCAAAAAGAGCTATCAAAATCACAGTCCATTTATACATAGGATATATACAAACTGGCTCGCTGTTAATGAACCAGATCACCACCAGCTTGGAGGTCCCAGTATCTTTTTTGTCTGATCCTATCAAGTAGGAGATGAGCAGTAATCCTCCCTCAGGCAAGCTAGGAGCCTGGAAGTTCTAAAAGTCTGTCAAGTTGAAGCTTTCAGACTCCTATCTTCATTCCCAGGAGTTGAGTAATATTGAGACCCCACTGTAAGACGATCCATGTGACTGGCTCCAATGGTGACCTGTCAGGAGAAAGTCCAGGAGGTGAACAGGCAGGAAAACATGCAGAATTCTGCTGGAACCTTTCTTGTGATTCATTGTAAATTGTTCGAGGCGAATAGTGAAGTGCTATGCCAGTAGCTTTCAAACTTCCTTAAGTCATGGAACTCTTTCATATCACTTATTCTGCTGTGGCACAACCTCTACCCCCATCCTAAAGACCACACAGAGCCAGGGAACTTGGCTTCGCCATGGTGGTGCACTACCCACGGGCCCACTGTCATTACCCCTGATTTCATTGCGGAATTACTAATGACCTAGCACGGAACCCCATGCTCCACAGAACACATGTTAAAAATCACTGTGTTATACACCTAACATTTAGACACTTTTTACACAAAACAAAAACATTGTTAGAAAATTCCTATGCAACCTCTCACTTTTTCCTTTTCCATTTCCCTCAGAAATTTAGAAGTTGGATTTTGAATTGATAAAACCAGGCCTGTTTGGGTCCTGGGTTTTGGCTTCACACGTCATATAAAGTTATCAGGCCTTGTATAACATACTATCTTCTTAGAAACTGTGAACAGTTCCCATTTAACTAAAACTATTTATTCATTGACATGAAATTTTAAGCTGGCAATGATATATTGGGCCTTGTGCAAAATTATCTTTGGTATAGAGGGAATGATTTCATTTCTGTTTAGTATATTTAGTTCATTTAACTCTTTTTGGGTCCTTTCCTTTGTGATTTTCCTGTGGGAGTTTGTCAGAGCATCAGCAATTCAGGAACTTTCTCTATTGATTTTATTTGTGGTAAAACTGGTTTTTTTTGTATAATTGAACTTGAAAATGTAGGGTTGACTTATGCAAAGACAATTTATTATTTGAACAATACAAAAGATTAGAAACTGCAGTTTGGGAAATTGCTTTCAAGAGCTCCCTGACTGTTGGTCCAAGAATCAAAGAATCAGTGCTGAGCCTCCTATTTAGCATAACAGAGCTAGCCTGGCTTTTAAAAAGTAATATTACAATAAGGCACACAGCTAGAAATTATTTCCATATAAAAAGGGAGAAAAAACCAAATCTTCATTGATTCTGCTTTTCAGAAATGCTTAAAAAGTCATCACATTATCAAGACAATTTGAGTTGCTTTTCTTCAGTCCAGTACTAATGACAGAAACATAGTAGAAGATAGCTACTATGTCTGTTGAATTAAAAGAAAATACTAATAGTTCAAGGGCTTGATCTGTAGTTATTAACATATTTAGGAGGGAAAGCTGTTTTCCCTAAAATTAAACCTGAATATATGGAGTTGATTTGTGCAGGGTAGATTTATGAACAGAACAATTTAGTATTTAACATACAGTTTCCACTGTTAAACATATCTGAATCAAAAGATTCCTTGTATTAAGATGAATGAGTTTGGTTTCCTTCTAATTAATAGCAGTCGTTTCTTGTTAATGCAGTTTTGATACCTTACGTTAATCATACTTCACTGACCAGAAAATTTGAAATTGCAGATTAAAGTCCAAGGTATGCAGTAAACTAGAACTCTTGTTTCCAAAATGATACCTTTTATTAGACCAACTGGAAAATGGCAAGAAAATTGTCCTTTTCTGCAAGCTTTCGGGATCAAAGTCCCTTCGTCGGGCTCTGGGAAAAGTATAAATGGTACAAGATGGGTAAACACTTTTCCCAGAGTCTGATGAAGGGACTTTGGTTTTGATTATGTGAAAAATAACACATTTATTAACTGAAGATCTCATAATTGGCAATATGGTAAATTCAAAATTTGCAAACATCAGCTCACTTTTATCAAATTGTAAATGGCACTTGAGCTGCGTTTACTTATTTTCCAGACCTGAGGAAAGATACCTTGTGCCTGAAAGTTGGTCCAAGATCCCTCCCAAATATACAGTTAGTCCAATAAAAGATTTCACACCAAAAATACTCATATAGTCACACTAGTCTTTGTGGCTGCTGCCTGGTTAATACAAATCCTTTTTTTACATTTAATTGTTGGGGAAGAAAACCTTCAATTCAGTTCCTTGTAATTTCAGTGAATCATTCCCATTTTCTCTGTGTTTCTGTCATTGGCCCTTCTTTCAGTGGAGTCACGTTACATCTAGAGTTGCTTACATGAGCTCAGCAACTCCTCCTATCCACCAAGGGATATTGTTAGAAGTAAAGATTTTCCTTTTCTTACCAGAACTCAAAGAAAAATATCTGTGCATCCAGTTCCTGGCAGATCCTGTCAAAAATATAAACTCAGTAATTGACCTTGTTTTTTAGGCTTTGCTTCCATAAACTCTTAGAACTGCTTTTGCTTTTCACAAATATTTTAGAAAAATTTTTTGAGTTAATCTATAAAGGTTTGTAATAGTGTGTTGAGAAGCTACCTCATCACATTAGACATAAGTAATAGCACATACTCATAAGAGAGTACATACTGGGCACATTTACACATGCCCCTGACCACACATTTGGTACTGTACAGTCATTTACTACTTGCTAAACAATGCATGGTTATTTTTAGATGCCGGTACTGTGTGGTCCCAGCAGCACACAGTTATTTTTAGATGCTATGTTGCCATAGCAACAAGCTGCAGCGACGTAGCTCATCGCTATGGCGATTTAGCATCGGCATCACGGTTTGTGCCTACCAACGCTGCATTGCCATAGCAATGAGCTATATTGTCATAGCTTGTCGCTACAGCGACATAGCATCTTATGTAGACAAGCCTACTGTGTACCAGCATCAGCTGACTCCTTGGGAGACTTCAGTTGTTATACTGATGAACTTTGTTCTGTTGATCAAAAATAGAACTTATATTATTCTGCCTGAAAAACACCCGAATATAGCCTTTCTTGCATTTCTACACGTTTTTGAACTTATGGAAAAGACGCAACCTGAGAACAACCCAGGGTAAAAATCACTCCTGGGAGAGCAAATATCTGTACAATTTACCCTTCTCAGACAAGCCACAGCATAGTCCTCCAGCATCTTAGGTGCTTTACACCTACTCTACTACCTCACCCCAGCAGGGAGCAGAATATGCCCCCTTCACAATTCCACACTGTGCTTCAGGGAGACATAAGACAACTCTGAGCAATCCAGGTCAGCTAGCCAGGACTGAGGGAGCCTGCACGGAATGCAGATATGTGCACAGAGTCCCCATGGCTGCACAGTGTCAGCACTGCAATCTTTTTGCTCTTCAGGAGCTCAGCACTCAAATGTCTGTTTAGTCATCTTCAGGCAAGCTTTTCTACCATGAAAATAAACCTAGGTGAATTCTTTCAGGTCATTTGAAAGTGTGTAAGTCTCTTAGAATTATAGAAAGTTAGGGTTGGAAGGGATGTCAGGAGGTCATCTAATCTAGTCCCAATCCCCTGCTCAAAGCAGGACCATCCCCAACTATATCATCCCATCTAAGGCTTTGTCTAACCAGGTCTTAAAAACCACCAAGGATGGAGATTTCACAACCTCTCTGGGTAATCTGTTCCAGTGCTTTTCTAGCCTCCTGGTGAGAGAGTTTTTCCCAATATGTAACCTAAACTTCTTATGCTGCAACTTGAGACCGTTGCTCCTGTTATCTGCCACCACTGAGAACAGTCTAGCTCCAGTCTTAAATTATGATATGAATTTACCTTGCGTTAACAACTTTGCACTGATGCCATGTGTGGAGTAAGCTAGCTCCCTGGTCAGATCCTGTGACTGACAGTTTAACTGTTGATAGATGTGCTAATTTAGTATGGTATTTATGATCCAAGGTCATAATAGTGGTCACAAATAGAATATGATCTTTTTTAATGGGAAGGCCTTTCAAAGACTTATCGTAAGATGGTTAAAGACTTTTCTTTTTTAAGTCTAAGGAATTAATTATAGTAATAATTACTTGTTTTCCATTCCAGACAATCCTTTGAATAATGAAAGTTCTCGAACTCATTCCTCTGTAATTGCAACAAGCAAAATGTCTGTAAAGACCTCAATATTTCACAAAGACGCTGCTACGCTAGAACCCCCATCTTCTGCTAAGATTACTTTCCAGTGTAAACACACAAGTGCCCTTTCTTCCCACGTTTTGAATAATGAAGATTTAGTAGAAGAGCTTTCACAGCCAAACACAGAAGCAAGACCTGAACTTTCAGTCCACCCTCTTACAAAAGAAAGCACTTACACTGCAAAATACCCAATGTCTTTCAGCAATAGTGCCCATTCTGAAAACTCACACAAAGAAAGTAATAAGAAGGATATTCTTCCTGTTTCTTCTTGTGAAAATAACATTTTTGAATATGAAGATGATATTTCGTCAGTGAGCAGACAGATACCAAGTAGGAAGTATACCAGCATCAGGAAGGTTGAGAAGGATTCCTCTTATATGCATATGAGCCGCCATATTAGTGATGGCATATTGGGTAAAAACTCATTTAATTTTTCAGATTTGAGCCACTCCAAAAGTAAAATGCCTTCTGAAATAAGCGAAAAATCCAGCGGCACAAGTATAAATAGCTTTTTCCCTGCGACAGTAACAGAAAATTGTGATATGGTGTCTTGTTCGGGGGGGAATCGAACTGTGATGCATTCTGTTGAAAGCAGTACTGATGAAGGTGGCCTTAATAAGCTTAAAATTAGGTATGAAGAATTTCAGGAACATAAGGCAGAAAAACCAAGCCTCAGTCAACAAGCAGCACATTACATGTTCTTTCCCAGTGTTGTTCTTTCTAATTGTCTCAGCCGACCACAAAAATTAGCTCCTGTAACATATAAATTACAGCCAGGCAACAAACAGTCCAGGTTAAAATTGAGTAAAAAGAAACTGGGCCTTATCAATCATCAGGAGCTTGTAAGTGTAAATCATATTGCATCCATTAAGGAAAGCTGCTATACACAAGGTAATGCATGTAGTAACATTCCTGATAAGGATAGTGCTTTGCCAAATGATTTAGTTCAAGTTCCTCATGATACCTTTGACAATAGGATGCCTACAAATACTTCTAATTGTACTGACTGCCAGTTTGGAGATGGTTCTCTTGAAACCGAGCAGTCATTTGGATTATGTGGGAATAAATATACGCTCCGAACCAAGCGTAAAGTAAATTATGAGACTGAAGATAGTGAATCGAGTTTCGTCACACACAACTCAAAAGTTAGCCTACCTCATCCCATAGAAAGTGGGGAAAGTTTGGATGGGTCTCAGAAATCTCGAAAACGTAGAAAACTCTCTAAAAAACTGCCACCTGTTATTATCAAATACATTATCATCAATAGATTTAGAGGGAGAAAAAATATGCTTGTTAAATTAGGTAAAGTAGATTCTAGTGAGGAACAAGTAGTACTTACAGAGGAAAAAATGAATTTATATAAAAAGCTTGCACCTTTAAAGGACTTTTGGCCAAAAGTTCCTGACTCCCCTGCAACCAAATATCCTATTTATCCATTAACACCAAAGAAAAGTCACAGAAGGAAAGCAAAACATAAGTCAGCTAAGAAAAAAACTGGAAAACCACAAAAAGCAAATAATAAAAATATTAAAAGAACTTTATCTTTCAGAAAAAGAACTCATGCAGTCCTTTCTCCTCCCTCACCATCTTACAATGCCGAAGCTGAAGACTGTGACTATAACTATAGTGATGTTATGTCTAAATTAGGTTTTCTCTCTGAGAGAAGCACAAGCCCAATAAATGCCTCTCCCCCTCGCTGCTGGTCTCCCACTGATCCAAAAGCAGAAGAAATTATGACTGATCTAGATAAAGAAGCTTTACTTTTTAAGGGTCCTAACATGTTCAATAGCAAGACTGTTAATTCCAATGTAGGAAAAAATAGTCGAGCAAAATCTCAGGTTAAGAAATGTAAAAAGAAGTTTCCTGGCCCCACAATAGCTACTAAGAAAAGGAACAGGATTAATCAGACGGATAAAACACCAGATGATGGAAAAAAGAAACCTAGAACAAAACAGAAACAAAAAACAGCTGAAAAAATATCATCGAGGAAACGCATGACATTTAAAGGTGAAAAAGGAAATGTTCGTTCTGCTGCAGAAGTTAAATTTGTACTGAAGCACCAAGACTTGCCTGAGATTTCTCACAACTCTAGCAGCTCACAACCACTTCTTACTCAGAAAGAGAGTCTTTTAACTGGCTACTCAACAGGACACTTACCTTCCACACAGCTCACCTCCACAGCTGATGCACAAGGAAAATCGTCTGGCTATTTTCATTCATTGCTGGAATCTGATAAATCTCTGGATTTACAAAGTTTCACTACTGCACGAGGAGACCTTCATTCATCTATCATTTCCATTCCCGTCCTAGCTGGAAGGGAAATAACAAAAATAAACTCCCAAAGGCCTAAGAGTCAAAGTACAGTATGTCGTATGAAGGAATCTTGTTTGATTCAAAATAGTATATTTGATCCATCTAACCACTCATCTCAGGTAACACAGAATGCACATATTTCTAAAGATACAACATGTACAAAGATGGAAGAGACTGTGAATTCACAGACTAGATACTTATCAGTTGGAAAACTAAATGAAACTCATAGTTCTTTAGACCCAACTAAGACTGATCAGATGCATACCACTAGTTTTTTGCATTGTAAAGAGAGTAATCCGCAGCAAGTTTTGTGTTTATCAGAAGCAACAAAATTTGCTGATCCTTATTCTTCCATACTCAAATCATCTGAGGAAAGCCATGGGTCTCTTCAGTTACCTAAAAACTGTTTTATAACTGCTTTGAAGAGTCCAGTAAAGCAGATAGGATGGGAACACAAACAGAGAGGATTTGTTTTGGATATGTCACATTTTAAACCTGAAAAAGTAAAATCGAAGTCCCTATCAGAAACCACCTCACAAACAAAACCTGCTTCTCAGTGTAAAAATCGAAATATAGTGGCCCCATCAGCATTCAGTGAAGGACAGTCTGGGCTAGCTGTTCTAAAAGAATTACTGCAAAAAAGACAGCAAAAAGCACAACATGCAAATGTTATGCAAGAAGCATTATCAGTTAAACCTCAGCTGAACAGAAGTATTTCTTGCCCTCTTGAACAGAATAAAGCAGTTAAAAGATCAAGGTCTGTCACTTCACCAAGGAAGTTCCGTTCTCCCAGAACTACAAAGCCTAAAGAAAAAACGCCCAAACTTTTAAAAGTAGATTCTTTTAACCAACAGAACACTAATCAGATTGACCACTCCGTGTCAGATGACAGCCCCATTTTTTTTTCAGATCCAGGCTTTGAAAGCTGTTATTCCCTTGAAGACAGCTTGTCACCAGACCATAATTACAATTTTGATATTAATGCCATAGGGCAGACTGGATTTTGCAGTTTGTACTCTGCAAGTCAGTTTGTCCCAGCAGACCAAAATCTGCCACAGAAGTTTTTGAGTGATGCCGTCCAGGATCTTTCTTCTGGACAAACAACAGAAAGTGAACTTTTAAACCTTAATAGCCAAAAATCTGAGGAAGAGAAACAGCATCCTTCTGACCCAGGTAAATGGATTAGACCTGGTGCTCTGAGCCCTGAGCTTTTTGAGAAAGCATCCTTGGAAAGCAATGAGAACCATCCCCACAGTCAGTGGAGAAACAGTGTTCACACTCCAACATCTCGATCTAGCTCATCAATAGATGCTTTTTGTATCCAAGAGACAGAGGACTATGTAAATGAGAAATTCAAGTTGAATAGAAATCTACTGAGCAAAGAGAGATTTCTTAATCTTCCACAGCCAGCTAATACAGACTGGATTCAAAGTCGCACTAGAAAGGAAGCCACTTTTGAATCATGTCAATCACTTGATTCTGTTAATGCCTCTTTTACTTCGCTCTTGTCTTCTCCGGATGGTGATCTTGTGGATGGCACTTCAGAGTATTTAGAGTTGTATGTTCCAAGAAATAACGAGGGCTTAACTCCAACTCCCGACAGTTCACCAAGATCAACTAGTTCTCCCTCGCAATCAAAGAATGGAAGTCTTACACCTCGTACTGCTCATGTTCTTAAACCTCTCATGTCCCCACCAAGTCGTGAAGAAATCATGGCAACTTTGCTGGATCATGATCTTGCAGAAACAATTTACCAAGAACCATTTTGCAGCAATCCTTCTGATGCACCAGAAAAGCCCAGGTACATTCCCTATGCACTTATAAGGTCCTTCTCTCTCGCTCTCTGCTAATTTTATTATACAGTGTAGGAGATTTTTCACTCAGTGGCGTATGATGTACTTACATTTCCAGGTTTTTATTTTTGTAACTCAGTAATGAAGAGTTTGAAAAAATCCATTTGTTTGATTTCACTGTGTCTTCATGTTTTTTATTGGCTCGTGTAGTTTTGGTATCCACAGTAATGCTCAAAGGATGAGTGAACTGACTACCTGCTCCCTTGGTCTGCCCATATGACCTGCTGTGGAAGCTATCAGCTATCTTGGGACTCTGTTTGGTTCTGATTATGAAGACTGCCTGTAAATCTAAAAAAATGATTTTTGCAAATAGTGAAACTGGTCACATTTTCATAATATTGTAAAGGAGGCTTTTTCCTAGTGCTAAAGCCATATTAATTTTACATTAATTAATTCCTTAATAAATATATATCTAATCCCAAAACGTAGTGGTCCTTCAGATGTATTTCTGTAACCAGAGAGGATTTCTACTCCCTTCCTGAAACTATATAATATTTTAATGCTAGGTACCCAAAAGCATGAAGGTAGTGTCTCTGTCACTAAAAATATATATTTGCTTATAGCTTATTTTACAGTAAACGATTAATTCCAGTTTTGTAAATAATGCTGTGACATATTGCTATTGTGTGATGTTAGAAACTAACTTGTTCTCAAGTCTGTGAACCAGTAGGGTTGAGAAGGTATATGGACACAGCATGCTCTCTCCTTGAGGGAAAGGAATTGATCACCCATTTAATTTTTAGTGACCTCTTTTGCTGCTTTTTATGAACACATGATAGACTCTGGAAGGAACTTACACATAGCTCTCTTCTGTTGAAAGGTTGATGGTTATCCTGGGATCTTTAATATGAAAGTAAAACATAAAGCAAGTAACATTTGGAGAGGCTCACTAGAGGCTCCTATAGGGATTCATGGACTCCCTCCGTTAGGAAAAGGGTAATTAATCTCAAGAGAGTTTTAATTTGTGGCATAATAAATTTATAATATTTTCTTTATAGGGAGATTGGAGGTCGACTTCTCACAGTAGAAACTAGACTTCCAAATGATCTACCTGAGTTTGAAGGAGACTTTTCCTTGGAAGGACTACGGCTCTGGAAGACTGCATTTTCAGCAATGACACAGAATCCTAGGCCAGGATCACCTCCACACAATTGGCAATCTGTTATTGATAAAAGACAAATTAATAGCCATAAAACTAGTGAAGATAAAAAAATAGTAATCATGCCTTGTAAATGTGCTCCAAGTCGCCAGCAGGTTCAGACATGGCTCCATGCCAAAGAAGAATATGAGCTTATGAAGAAATTGCCTAAGGACCAGCCTGTTGAGATGGAAAAAGGAACTGAGAATTTGAGCTCTACAACACTGCCTTCAGAGAAACCTGTTGAAATAACAAAAACAGTTGTTGAGGATGAGAGTTTACCTAACCTGCAAGATAGGAGACCTACTGGACCTACAAAAGATGCTCCTGTTTCCCAGATAAGTACTACAATAATAAAAACCAAGGAAACTTGTGACACACACGTGACTAATATAATTTCTACAAATTATACCATAGAACCAAATAAAACCCCAGTTGAAAGCAAAACAGTTGCTACTTCAACAATAGAACCTGATAAGGAAGAAGAGGAAGAGGACTACTATATCAATTATAGCTCGCCAGATTCTCCAGTGCTTCCTCCTTGGCAACAAGCAGCATCCCCAGATTCTAAGCAGTCTGGTTTTGAAGATGCAGATTGGAGTAGTCAAGATATAGTTCCATCTTCTGTGGAAGAAAAGGATGTAACATCTGCTGAGAGTGAAGATACACCTGTCAGAGCTGAGGGTCGGACTCCCTTGAGCACATCTCCACTCTTGCTCAAAGAAGGTGCTGGAAATTTGGAATCATTTTGCCTACATAGTACTCCCCTTGTGCAGAGAAAACATCAAGAAGTAATACCAGATGCACTTGACTTTACCCCCTTATCAACAGGTAAAACTGTTATTTAAGCAAGATAAAACCAGGGAGAGGCACAAAAATATTTTCTGAAAGTTGATTAATTTTTTTTTTTAATGGGGAAATATCCACTGCCCTATTGGGAGAGCAAGTTAAACTATTTTTGCAAGGGTAATAATTTGGTAAACATTTATGAAATAATTATTCAACAATTAGGATTCTGGTATCAAAACATCCTTATACTGTGCTGTCATTTGGCTATGATATAGATTTTATAGTAGTAGATACAAACACTTGACCTCTACAGATGTTCAGTTTTATACTAGGAGAACAGCTTTTTATCTTGGTAGAAAACAGTTGTGCCGATAGTCAAACTTTTTCTCCCGGAGCAAAAATGGCTGCTGTTTGGCAGGATGGTGGGGGTATTCTCCTGTGTTGGAATGCTTCCAGTTAGTTGGGCGGTGGAGGAAAGGCATATATTCTCCTAGGCCTGGAAACCTCCCCAGCGCTATGTAGTAGCCGCTGCTGCTTTTCAGCAGTTGCCAACTGCCACTTGATCGCCTGCCTTCTTCCCAGGCAAGGGAAGAGGGCAGGTCTCACCTCTGCTGAGGATGGGTATGGCCCAGGGAGCAGCTCTCTAGTGTCCCTGGTTGGAAAACTCACCTGTGAAGCTCTCCAGCTATGGGGCTAGAGGAACATCTTGTATGGTCCAACTCCTGGACTATTTTTCTACTAGAAAAAAATTCTTCCAGTATAACTGATCATCTGTATGCAGCCACCATTATTGAAGTTGAATTGACAACATTTTTCATAGTTTCATAGTTGGTAGGGTCAGAAGGGACCTGAGGAGATCATCTAGTCTGACCCCCTACCGTGGCAGAAAAGAGTACTGGGGTCAAATGACCCTGGCCAGATGTACGTCCAGCCTCCTTTTAAAGACCCCCAGGGTAGGAGCCAGCACCACTTCTTTTGGAAGTTGGTTCCAGGTCCTAGCCACCCTGACAGGGAAATAGCACTTCCTAGTGTCTAGTCTGAAACTGCCCTCCGCTAGCTTGTGTCCGTTGTTTCTTGTAACTCCTGGGAGTGCTCAGGGGAACAGGGACTCTCCCAATGCCTGCTGGTCCCCCTTGACTAGTTTGTAGACTGCCACTAGATCCCCTCTCAGCCTTCTCTTTTGGAGGCTGAACAGGTTCAGGTCCCTCAGCCTCTCCGCGTAGAGCCTCTCCTGCTGACCCCTGATCATGCGAGTGGCCCTCCTTTGGACCCTCTCCATGTTGTCCACATCTCTCCTGAAGTGCAGTGCCCAGAACTAGACACAGTACTCCAACTGTGGCCTGACCAGTGTTGCATAGAGGGGGAGGATCACCTCCTTTGACCTGCTTGAGATGCATCTGTGGATGCACGACAAGGTATGGTTGGCCTTCCTGATTGCGTCCCCACACTGTCGGCCCATGTTCATTGTGGCATCAGTGATGACTCCAAGATCCTTTTCTGTCTCCTTTTGCTTACTAAATCTTTAGTTAAAATTCTGGCATTCATCAGACAGCTACTTAATTTGAATTTAGAGTATAAATTTTAAATGTTTTAAATTGTACTGTACAAGAGAAGCGTCCACCTTGTCTTAATACCATACATTTAGTATGCCTTTAGAAACTACTGCAGACTTAAAATTGTTTTTTGAACTTAAAGGGGATTATCCCATTTGGGCTGTAGTATCCAGGGGCTTTTTCACTTTCTTTGTACTTAATTCTGCTTTCTAGAGAATATTTGAAGAAACCAAATAACTTTGCTATATGTCCTTACAGAAACCAAAATTCATAAATTAAGTCAGAGAAGAGGAAGTAATGCTGACACTCTACGAAGAGTACTTTTAACAACACAAGTGAAGGTAAGACATTTTATGATAACATATATGTTTATGTTTTAGTTCTGAAGCAGTGATGGTCATGTCTTACTTTTTCCCACTTATATTTATTTTAAAACTGTTTTTAGAAGTAGAGATTACAACAACAGCTTTCTGGTTTTCGTGGCATTTCTTTTACAGGTGGAATCTAGGAAATTTTTAATTGTATGGCAATTATAAGGATGCAAATACAAAAAGAAAATACAAAAGCAAAGCTTAAGCCTATTTTATATGGTCATATCAAATTCCAAGATGTTTTGTAGACTTTTGATTTTCTTGTGTTCTTTTTTTTAAATAAAAATTATATGCAGTTAGTTGTGCTTGAGGTGGTGTTATTGCAATGTCAGAATGCATTTGTGAGAATAAATGTATGCATATGAGCATATGCAACCAACAAATTAAATTATAATGTATTAATTAGCTTTTTTATATCCTGTTGCACTAATCTGTTAAACATAGTAATGACCCCTTCATTAGTCTTTTATAAATACTACATACTAACCAAAATTCTCTTTGGCATGGCAGGACACGCAGTTTTTAGGATTGGGCATATAAAGTTCCTCGGATACCATCAATTATTAATGTGTGCCGGGGCATTATAAGCAAAAAAAAATAAAAAATAAAAATGGGGGGGCGGGGAGTAATTAAACTTTTAGGATGACTTGCCTCTTTCATACAGATGTATAACATAGACTACATACAAGGAATTTTCATGTTAAAATTAACTTTATAGTTTGTGAGCTTAATATTAAGAAAATAGGAGGAAAAATGAGAATTTCAAGTAATTATAAGAAAAATCTTTTAAGATTACTTAGAAAATACACTAGAAAAATTGTGGATGTCACCAAGGTGAGGGAAGTTTGCAAGTGTTCTGGAGAGTGAGATCAGCCTGATCTTGACAATTAGTAAAATCGGTCTGAAATCAAGAAGTGAATTTGTCTTTACTGAATTTCATGTTCTTGATTTTTGGACTATTTCCCAATTTGTCATGATAGTTTTGAAATGTTGTTTAGTTTAGAAAAGAGAAGAGGGAGCAAATGTAATGGTAAGTCTTCCAATATCTGAAAGGTTGTTATGAACAGGATGGTTAATCAGTATTCTTCATGTTCTCTGAGAGAAGGACAAGGAAAAATCAGCTTAATTTGTAGCAAAGATGATTTGGGATTGATATTAAAGAAAACTTTTGAACTATTTACAGTGGCCATGTACAGACATTCAGTTTCTATGGGGAGAATCGCCATTCTCTTGGTAGAAACCCAAAGCATGCAGATATTTAAGCTTTTTCCCTCAGAGAAAAAATTTCTATTCCTGGAGAAAAATAACTTGGGAAAATCCAGGGTTAAATTGCTCCCAGGAGAGCTTCTCTTGGGAAACCAAACATCTACACACTTTTCCCTGGTTTAACTTCTCCCAAAAACCAGGAGGAGTGGAACCAGGGCAAAGGCTCCCATGCCCTCCAGAGACTAGGGTCATTGGTCTGGAGAAGGCTGCTCCGCATATCCTGTAGACTGGGAGCAGAGGGGAGGAGCATCCACCAACTGCTCCCTGCCTGCTTCTCAGTCTGAAGCACCAGTGCTGGATGAGGCAACAGCATTTTACAAAATTTGCAACAATACAAAAAAAGTGCCAATGAATGGCCACATATTCCAAGCTCTGTAGCTAGAGCTTGACACAGTTGTTGCAGACACACTCTCTAGCTAGAAGGCAATATGGGGCTGGTCTGTAGTTCCCCTCTGCAGGTCCACTTTGCCCCCAGGCAAGTTTAAAGGGCTTGCCAAGCCAGGCAGGCTGACTGACAGACTTGCAGGACCTTTAAAGGTCTTGGCTTCCTGGCAGCCTGAGAGTCTTGTGCAGTTCCAGACTACCGTCAGCTGAGAGTTTTTAAAGGTTCCAGTGCTTTAAAAGGCTGCTGATATTGGATCACCAGCAGTCCTTTTAAAGGTTTGAGCATGCAAGCAGTATGACACCAAGAACAACTCAACAGTGCTTGGCTGCCTGTGCACCCTTTAAAGTATCAGCATGTTGGCAAGTTTGCATATGGGACAGACTTAGGTCCAGGACAGGGCCACTGCCATAGCTATTCTGTCCCCACTGCTCTGCTAGCAGTTTGAAGGGTGAGTGGGTAGCCCAAGAGCAGGGAAAAGCTCACTGGTCCCTGGGCTGCTCTCTCAGAGAGCACTCGAAAAGGCCCTGGTCAGCCCCTGCTGCCCATGGCTACACAGGGCAAGCTGCCAGAGAGGCAGTTGCTCTTTTTGGTTCCTGACAGATGTTCACTTTAAGGCATGATGAGATCTGATACACAACCCCAACTATTGCACTTCCTGCCATTCCATGTGTACATGGGATCTGATACCCTCCAGTGCATCTATTATACCCCCAGCTTGGTGTCATCCGCAAATCTGCTGAGGGTGCAACCCATCCCATTCTTCCAGAATGTTAATAAAGATATTGAACAAAACCAGCCGCAGGACCCACCCTGGGGCACGCCACTTGATACTGATGAACCTAGGTATTGAGCCATTGATTACTACCCTTTGAGCCTGACAATCCAGCCAGCTTTCTGTCCACCTCGCTGTCCATTCATCCAACCCATACTTCCTCAACTTGCTTGCAGGAATGGTGTAGGAGATGGTATCAAAAGCCTTGCAAAAGTCAAGCTATATCATGTCCACTGCTTTCCTTGCATCCACGGAGCCAGTCATCTCTTCTTAGAAGGCAGTCGGGTTGATCAAGCTTGGTGAATCCATGCAGACTGTTCCTAATGGTGTAGGTTGTAGCCATGTTAATCTAAGGACATAGGCAGACAAGGTTCTTTGGGTAAATCTGATATTTTTTATCAAACCAACTCAGATAGTTTGAAAAATACTTCTTTGCAAGCTTTTGGGTACAATTATCCTTCGTGGGGCAGAGGAAGCGTCTGCAGATGGTCTATGCTCTTCCTGAATGGGAGTAGTAAAGCAGCCAGAGTAGTAAACGTATGCAAGAAAGCCAGTCAATTAAAATGTAAATTGGGCTGGTTAATAGGTGAGAGACAGGTTGGGGGTGGGAAGGGGAATGAATGTTTTTGTTCCTAATCACATTCTTCTCCTCCAAGTGCTTAGAAGTGGATTTTTTGGGAACCTGCTCCATTATTTTTCTGGGGACTGAGGTGAAACTGACAGGTCTGTAGTTCCCTGAATCCTTTTTCTTCCCTTTCTTAAAGTTAGGTACTATATTTGCCCTATGCCAATCGTCTGGGACCTCCCCCGATCCCCACGAGTTTTCACAGATGATAGCCAATGGTTCTGCAATCACATCAGCCAGCTCCCTCGGCACCCTCAGATGCATTGCCTTTGGCCCCTTGTACAGGCATGGACTTGCACACGTCCAGCTTTTCTAAATAGTCCCTAACCTGTTCTTTCACCACTGAGGGCTGCTGACCTTCTCTCCAAACTGCTCCCCGGTGCAGTAGTCTGGGAGCTGACCTTACCTGTGAAGACCAAGGTAAAAAGGCATTGAGTACTTCAGCCTTTTCTTCATTGCCTATCACTAGGTTGCCTCCCCCATTCAGTATGGGACCCACACTTTCCCTGACCTTCCTCTTGCTGCTAACATACTTGTAGAAGCCCTTCCTGTTACCCTTCACATCACTTGCTAGCTGCAACTCCAGTTGTCCTTCGGCCTTCCTGACTTTATCCCTGCATGTCCAAGCAATATTCTTATATTCCTCCCTAGTTGTTTGTCCAATCTTCCACTTTTTCTAAGCTTCCTTCTTGTATTTAAGCTCACTGAAGTGTGCTCTGCTAAGTCAAGCTGGTCACTTGCCACATTTGCTATTCTTCCTGCACATCAAGGTGGTTCATTCCTGTGTCCTCCATTAAGGTTTCTTTAAAATACAGCCAGCTATCCTGGACTCCTTTCCTGCTCAGACTGGTCTCCCAGGAGATCCTACTCATCAGCTCCCTGAGGGAGTTAGTCTGCTTTTCTGAAGTCCAGGGTCTGTACTGCTCTCCTTTCCTCCTTTTGTCAGGATCTCAATCTCGTGGTCACTGCTGCCCAGCTTGCCATTCACTTCTACATCCCCTGCCAGTTCTTCCCTGTTTGAGCAGTAGGTCAAGAAGAGCATGGCCCCTAGTTGGCCACTCCAGCACTTGCACCAGGAAGTTGTCCACAGCACTCTCCAAAAACTTCCTGGATTGCCTGAGCACTGCTGTACCTCCCAGCAGATGTCAGGGTGATTTGAAGTCCCCCATGACAACCAGGGCCTGTGATCGGAAACTTCCTCTAGTTGTCTTAAGAAAGCCTTATCTACCTCAGCCTCCTGGTTAGGTGGTCAATAGCAGACCCCCACCATGACATCACCCTTGTTGCTCTCCCCTCTGACCCTAATCCAGAGACTGCAACAGGCCTATCTCCAGCTTCATACTGGAGCTCTGAGCAATCATATGGCTCTTTTAAATAAAGTGCAACTGCTCTTCCTCTTCTCCCCTGCCTGTCTTTTCTGAACAATTTGTATCTGTCCATGACACTGCTCCAGTCATGCAAGCTGTCCCACCAATTCTCTGTTATTCCAATCACATCATAGTTCTGTGACTGCAAGGACTTCTAATTCTTCCTTCTTGTTTCCCAGGCTCTGCATTCATGTACACACACCTGAGGTGACTAGCTGATTGCCCTGTTTTCTCAGAAAGAATGCAGCTTCTCCTGTTGTCCCCTCCTGCTTGTGCTTCCTCCAGGTTGCCTGCTTCTCCACTTACCTCAGGGCCTTGTTCTCCATCCCCCAGCGAACCTAGTTTAAAGCCCTCCTCACTAGATTAGCGAGCCTGTCTGTGAAGATGCTCTTCAGTCTCCTCATCAGGTGGATCCTGTCCCTTCCTAGCAATCCTTCTTGGAACAATATCCCATGATCAAAGAAGCCAAATCTCTGCTGGAGAAGCCACCTGTGCAGCCATGAATTGATCTGCAGGATGTCCACTCCTGCCAGGGCCCTTCTCCTTGACTAGAAGGATTGAGGAGAAGACCTGTGTCCCTGTCCCCTTCACCCTTGCATCCAGAGCCCAGTAGGTGCTCTTAATCTGCTCAGGGTCACCCCGGCAGTATCATTGGTGCCCACATGGATGAACAGTATGGGGTAGTAGTCAGAGAGCAAGAAGTCTCAGTAATCATTCTGTGACATCTTGGATCTGGGCTCCAGGCAAGCAGCAGACGTCCTAGGACAACAGGTCAGACCTGAAGATGGATGCCTATATCCCCCACAGAAAAGAGGGTCCAACCACCACCACTCATCGCTTCCTCTTTGTAGCAGTGGTCTCAATCCTCCCCACCTTGGGGGTTCCTGGCCTGGCCTCTTCCACCAATGTAATGCTCTCCTCCTCCTCTGTTGCTAGTGCTCCATATATGTTCTCTAAGCAAACCACTGCATGTGGGGATCACGACAACGACTTGCTGCCAGAAGATACAAGCTTCCACCTTTCTGGGAGTCCATGCCCTCTTCCTTTCCTAGCACCACCTCTGGCAGTCCTTCCTCCACAGTCTTAGAGGTTTCCTCCAGCGTGGAGTTGATGAAGTCCTCATGGCAGAGAATGCTTCGGAGCCTTGCTACCTCCTCTTGTAGCTCTCTTGCCTTCTCCCTGAGGGACACCACCAGAAGGCACTGCTCACATTGCAGGCACTCCCCCAGCTGACTGACACTGAAAGGAACCTGCAAGCCACAGTCTGCACAGAACCAAACCAGGACCTGGGTGGAAGTCTCAACAGTGTGTGGTCCTGCCTGAACCACCTTACAGGTGAAAGTAGAGGAAGAGCTGGAAGTGGCAGTGGTTCTGGTATTATGACGTCCTCCAGCTATCTCTCTGGGTCTTCTAGTCTGCTGCCTCTCCTTTCGTGTCTCTTTCCAAGCAGAGCTTTCCTAGAAAACTCCTCTGTAGCTGGCCTGTTTGCTGTTCCTTGATCTGAAGGGTTCCCTTTTTCCCTGCAACCTCTTTCCTCTCAGCAAGCTTACAGTAAAGGAATGTGAGAGCGTTTCCAAGCAAAAGGAGCTTCTGGCAGCAGGGCTCCTAGTAGAATGTCTGAGCTGGGGTAAGCAAGGCCAGAGCCTGGGGAAAAACATAGGCCTTGGAATAGATAGGCCTAGGGACAGAAGCAGGTGAGCCCATGGCCTGGAGAGGACTGGAAGACAGCAGAGGGCCAGGGTGCCCAAAGCTCAGCAAGGGAATAGAGCAGAGCCTGAGAGGGGCTGAGGCCATGGTCTGAGAGGGCTGGTAATGAATAACAACTGGTGGTTGTGGGAATGAACTAAGGGGAGGTTAGGCTGACCTAACCTCAGCTGGCCCAGAGAAAGAGAGAGGGGTCTGGGGCCCTGATGGAGAGAGAGCCTGAGACCAGGACGGGCTGAGTAGATAGGGCCTAGGGCCTGAAGCCTAATACAGGTAGAGGTGCAAGTGCCCCAAGAACGGCGAGTATGAGGAAGGCCTAAGAGACCAGAACCCAGGAGGGGCTGAGTAGGTAAGGCCTGAGGCTGGAGCCCAGGAAGGGCAGGTGTCAGCTGGGCCATGGGGCTTGGAAGTCAGTAGCCATGCCGGAGGGGTCTAACTGGCCTAGGAGTGGGGCCAGGGTCTAGGGCAGGGGTGGGCAAAATATGACCCATAGGCCAGATCTGACCTGCCAGGCATTTTGCTTCGATGCATGGGCATACAGCAACTAATTGTATCCCAGCCAGCCTACGCGCATCACTCCCACCCTTTGTTTGAGGAAGGGCCTGACCTAGCCATCATACAATTTCCTTTTGCGGATGCCTGGGTACCTCCTCAGCTTCCCTGGCGTCCCATTCACTCCAGGCACAGATAGAGAAGTGGTGGGAGCGGGAGGAAGATGCAGCTGGATAGGAGTGTGGGGCTAGGGCTGACAGCAGCACAAAGCCCGCATGCAGGAGGGCAGCAGGAGCATGGAGCTTGGGTGGGCAGGGTGTGTGTGAGAGAGAGGGTGGGGAGGTGTGGGGACCCCTACACACTCCTTCATGGCTCTCAGCCCCCACCATGGGCAGCAGCAGCAGGCAGGGGTGCTTGTGTCCGGTGCGCTGCCACTGGCAGCACGGGGGTCCAGCCCGCAAAGAGGACAGGAG